TGTGTCCTCACCGGGGCATGAACCGGCGACCATCTAGCTGCGAGGCAACAGTGCTACACATATGAGAGAATAAGGGCTGCAAGGTGGTGCAGTTGGTTAGCACTGTTGCCTGTGTGTATATGAAATTATGTCGCCCCCTAAAGTTGCAGCTTCCCTCTATAGTTTTGAACATCTTTTGCAGATTATCAGGTAACCCAGTATTCTTTGCTTTGTACAATATTCTAAATGAACTATATCAAAAAGAAAATAGCAATTCTGATTTTATAAACAGATAGTTGGTGTGATCTCCATATACAGCATGATTTATGATCCGGACGACTCTTTTTTGTAACGTGTAGATCTTTTGTAGGTTTTATTTGTATGTATTTCCCCAGACACAGTAATATAGGTATGGTAGGGTCATGGTGCAGTAACAAGTTTTAAGCTCATTAAACACTGTACTGTACACATTACTATGGCCTGGATCTTAACATGTAACACTTTTAAAGTAAGTTAAATTAATATGTAGTGCTTGTCTTTGTTGATAGAAAACTAAGCTGGTGTAACTGTCCTAATTTTCCTTCATGTGGGTCTTCAAAGAGCACATTCTGTCCTCAACCAGAACAGAATTTCCAGCTTTGATCACAGTTACTTTATCTATTGGAGACCCACGTGGATGTTTTAACTGCACCGTATTCATTTAGACATTCTAAACACTGTACTGTGTCTGTACTGACAGTCTGTTTGACCTAGAGGGCAGCAAAGACCACCAGAGGACACCACTGCGCTCTGAAAAAATGAACTGGTGAACTCATGAAAGATTGCATTACTGCTGATGCCAAGATTAGTATTTGGAAAAGTGCTAAAGTCTGCATGCAGTTTTCATGGTACCAAATGAATTATATCAGCTTAGTCACAGAAATGGGATGTTAGAAGATTAAACATGATTCATTCATAATAATCATCAATAACAAAAAACAATGCTTGTTTTATCACTATTAAATATGTAAATAACCACCAATCCCAAACGCGTTTATATATTTGCTTAAAATTAA